TATTCACTGACTGGCTATAACACAAGTTTTTCAATTTTTTTTCCTTTTTATGATGTTCCATTTCAAACTTTATTTGACTTGATACAAAAACATAAAATACAATGCAGTAAAATGATATAAAATTTATCAGATATAAAAAGATCTTGTCTTTAATTAATTGTAGATTGACAATATTTGTTGAGAAAAACTGATTACTATGCAAATAAAAATTATGCAAATTAGATGCATTGTTATGCAAATTGCCGTGATGCTTGACATGAAGTCTGGGGAGAACACTGTAGAGATTTTATAATACGAATTTAAAAATGCACTTCAAAAACAAGGATTGCAGTGATTGAAGATGTAAATTCTTGGGAGGCAACGGTACTGTTGACTTCTCTCTCCGCTGGACACCAACTATTTAAGTTGATTTGCATACAAAGCAGTACTTGCAACATGATAGCTGTAGTGATCTCAATATGAATGGTCTGTTAGACCAGGTGTTATTATTATGTAACAATGGTTCAAGTATATAAAGCCTGGACTTGAATAAACATGTGTCAGTATTATCAGCACTCAGTGTGTGTCGTGTCTCATCTCTTGTATCTCTCCTACCAAATGCTACACGGACGTCTCAAGATATTACATTGGCGACGAGGATTGTGAGCCCAACAGAAACTACTACTTCTCAGTAGAAGACATCAGGTTGTACGAACTTGTTTGCAAAATTTCACTCGTATTTCGTTGGACTGGTGTTCATTATGGCAGCACAAGCAGGTTTCATGTTTTCCCAGTTATCTCCGTTTGACGTCCATGGGGACACTAGTACATTAGCACCACGTTGAAAACGTTGGTTATCACGCTTTGAAAACAGCTGTGTAGCCTGGAAGATTACTGACCCAGAGCAAAAAAAAGCTATGCTTTTGGACCGAGGTGGCGACGACTTATTCGAGATTTGCGATACGCTAACCATGCCCGTTGAACCTGAATATGACAACGCTTACAAGAAACTAATTAAAGCATTAGAAGACTACTTTCTTCCCAAAAAGAACACTGAGTTCGAAATTTATCAATTTCGGCGTGCCACTCAATACGACACTGAAAGCATTGACCAGTTTGTAACTCGTTTACGAAAACTGATAAATAACTGTGGTATTGAAGACGCAGAGGCCAAAGATGTCGAAATTAAACACCAAATCATACAGGGAGGGAAGAATAAGAAGGTTCGTCGCCGTGCTTTGCAAGATGAGATGTCTCTTGACAAGATAATCACCTTGGCCAGGACGTTAGAAGTCTCGGAGCGTGAAGCATATGGTATAGAAAGTGGTAATCCTGATTCCGTGAAGACATTTTCCTGTCAACTACGAAACTCCACTACCAGCCGGACGACAGCGCGCCCTACTAGAAAACGTCCTCAGAAAGCCCGTAGATATCCGGACCAAGTACCGACGACGCAACGCTCTTGTTATAAATGTGGTCACGAATATCCACACAAGGGCCCTTGCCCTGCAGTGGGTAAACAATGTAACTTTTGTCATAAAACTGGACATTTTGTTCGTTATTGTCGCAAGTTAGAAGGTTCAAGAAAGAAAGATTCTAACAATGTGAGTACTAAAATCAAACATATCTGTGCTGACGATTGCTCAGACAGTGACGAGTATATATTCAATGTTACTAATTTTGACCAATACAATGGAAAACTTCCTTTCACTACGTAGAATGTGGAGAATAAATCCATTGATTTCATGTTAGATTCTGGTGCTTCATGTAATGTACTAAATAAGCATGACTATGAATTGATTAATGATAATGTAATTTTAGAACCAACAAATAGGAAAGTTTCTACTTATGGAAAACAAAGTGTAAATGTGTTGGGTATAGTACAAACCAATGTTGACTTGGGAGCCCGGAGTGAAATATTGAAGTTTATAGTAGTGGACACTACAGATTCGTCAATTTTGGGCTATCCGACATCCAGTCACCTTGGTTTTATACAAATTAACCCTAACAAATTTGTACGGTTTTCAGAGAAACGAATTAATTCTCATTCAGAACGAATAAGCACACTATCACGACGAATACGCTCACATGTCCACCATGCGACAAAACAAACAAAATCTAACAATACGCGACGTGATACAAACAGTAACGTTAACTTGAATATACCAGATTGTCCCGATTCTGTGAAAGAAATAATTTATAATCACGAAAGTACATTTTGCGGGATGGGTAAATACAACGAAAAAAAAAATCAAATTGCATATTGATTCGAAAGTCAAACCCGTAAAACAAGGCCACAGACGTGTTCCATACCATTTGAGAAAAAGGGTCGAAAACAAATTAAAATTATTAGAGAAAGCCGATATTTTGGAGAAGGTAAATGGTCCAACTCCATGGGTAAGTCCCATTGTTGTTGTGCCTAAATCAGGAACTGATAATGTGACAATATGTGGCTATTACAGGGCCGTAAATTCAGCCATTCAGAGAGAGCGCCATGTAACCCCGACCGTGCAAGAAATTCGCACAAAATTAAATGGTTCTCGAGTATTTATTTAGTAAACTTGACGCGAATAAGCACTATTTGCAATTTGAACTCGATGAAAAATCTAGTAATCTCACTACAATAAGTACCCATGTTGGTTTAAGGCGATATAAACGTCTCCCATTTGGCATAAATGCAGCTGCTGAAATTTGCCAAAATGAAATGACTTTAGCACTGTCAGATCTCGCAGGCGTTGAGAGTATCGCAGACGATATTATTATACACGGTAAGTCTCAAAAATTGCATGACCGGGCCCTAGATAAGTGTTTGACTCGGTTGTCCGATAAAGGACTTACATTGGGTTTAAGCAAATGTGTATTTTCAGTTCCACAAATTGTCTTTTTCGGCTTCGTATTTGATAAAAATGGCATGCATTGTGATGAAACGCGTATTCAATCCATTCGTGACATGAAACGCCCAGAAAATGCTTCGGAAGTGAGATCGTTTTTAGGCATGTTGGGTCTCCCAGCTTTGATGGTACCTCACTTTAGTACATTATCCGAACCAATTAGGTCTCTAACCAAAAAGGGTGTCAAGTTTGTTTGGGGTGAAAGTCAGGAAAAAGCGTTTAATTCAATTAAAAGGGTTATTTGTTCAAAAATCGTTTTGGGTTATTTC